AGAAAAAGAGGTTGAAAAAAGTTGGTTATCATTTCCTAAAAACTAATTTAAAGCATGAAATTACATTTAAGATGTATTTATTTTAACAGTTGGGAGTATTACAGTAGAGTATCATATTAAATATTAAGGGATAACTTTAGAATCATAGACTGTTTGAACTGGAAATGGTCTTAGAGATTATTTTGCTCCAGTCTTCGTTCTGCGGTGGACTTAGTGACTGGCTTGGGGAGGCTAAGGAATTAACCTAAGGTCGAACAGTGATGTACTGGCAGAACAAGTATTAAAACTCCAGTTTATTTGTCATAGTTCTTGGGCTTTTTCCCAGTACTCTGTAGTATTTCTCAACTATATGTATTAGTATAAGGAAATGGAGTGTTTAATACAAATGATTCTGTACATTCTGGGGTCAGTTATACTGTATAGACAGACAGAATAAGAGAGGAGGTGACATTTAGAAAATATGATCAGAAACCTTCATCAGTTCTGTATTTATTTTGGTACTTAAATAACAAAGACAAAAAAATAGTTTAACCCATTAAAAATTTTAGCCAGTGAATAAGCATTTCTTTGTGCTTATCCATTGCTTAAGCTCTTGCCTAGTCTTGTCATTGTGAAAAATATCATTTTATGTAGGATTGCATTTATTATTGCATTTATTATTAGCTTTAATGAAACAGCTCCTTTTTAAAAAATTATTTGATTATCATAGAGAAATATAAAGCAAATATCAAGAAGCAAAGCTGAACTGTGTTAGAAAGCCACCTAGTGGTATCCGGGGGAATTTTTTGTAATGCGATTTATTTTTTGATTATATGTGGACTTTGAAGTAGAAATTTTTATCGCTCTTCTGTAATGGCAGTCTAGTATAGACATTTTAATTATTTTCAAAGTTCTTAGATTGAAATATAGTCGATTTACAATGTTGTGCTAATTTCTGGTGTACACCATAGTGATTCAGTTATACATTTATGTATCTATTCCTTTTCATATTCTTTTTTATTATAGGCCATTACAAGGTACTGAATATAGTTTCTTGTGCTATGCAGTAGGACCTTGTTGTTTATCTAGTACATATATAGCAGTTAGTATCTGCAAATCCGAGCTCCCGATTTATCCCTTCCCCAACCCCTGATATTTTAATTCTTTTGAAATGGTTTCAAGCACTAGGTAAAGAGTAATACTCATTCTGCTGTTGTTTTTGTGCTGTCGAGGACTTTGGATGCATGACAAAGATTTGTATTGCAGCAGGTAAGGTGTTTGAGCACCGGAGCTTGAATGGATATAGATTACCCTGAGAGGCTCCTGTTCAATGCAGTCCTAAAGAAAGAGAAGAAATACACGTACATGTTTTTTTTTCCTCCCTTCTCCCCATTTGGAATCAATTCTTTGAGATAAAGACCAAGGGTAGATAGTGCTTTTTTGCATTTGTAGGCATTTCTTTTAATGATCTCTGGGCTTAGATTTTAGACCATCAAATGAGAGAGAGTTCTGTATTATTCTAAAAAATGAAAGTAGTGTTAGCTTCAGTAAAATGAACTTTCCTCTTAAAGATTATTTAAAATGGACGCAGGTATATATAACCTAGTGTTGTTAAGGGCAGAGTTGGTAACTCTGGAAATAATTATAAAATGTATCAAGTTATCATGATTAGCTATTTCTCAAATCAAGGTTAGCATGAGGCATTGTTTTCACACATATGTCACATATAAAATGCTAACATTTTAACGGTGTTTAAAATGATGCAAGCCGTCACTTCTGAGGTTATCTATCACATTTGCCAAACAATTGAAATTTCTAGCCTAGAAAACATGGGGTTTGTTTTTTATGCTTAGCCGACTTTTTATCTGTAAGATAGAGTAAAAACTTCCTTAAGAAGTTATTTCTCTGTGTATGTGTGTTTATTTTTTAACATGAAATGACTCTGAGTTTGAGAACCTTTCATATGTTGTCAGTTTTTTTTTTAAGTTTCTTTTTGAGAAAATGTTAGTGGTTGATTCTTAAAAGTCATCTGGTATGATTTTAGAAAAGCAATAAAGCACTGTTTTAAAAACATACTGATCTTGTGTAAATTCTGTCTTCCTTAGCAAGCAGAGACGAACTCCAGTCCAGAAAAGTTAAATTGGATTATGAAGAAGTTGGTGTCTGTCAGAAGGATGTCTTAATCACTTGGGATAAGAAGTTATTAAACTGCAGAGCCAAGATCAGATGCGATATGGAAGATATTCATACTTCTCTTAGAGAAGGTATTCTGGATCTTTTTTATTAGAAAAACTTGAGAAATGTTTTGATTCATGCAGCTCAGGCATAATTTTCTCTTTGTGCTTTGCCTATTTAAAAAAAGGAAAGTAATTTGTTTCTGCCCTCACTTAGTGACTTCGTTGGAGATATTATCCCTGAGGAGATGGCAGGCACCTTTCTTACAGTATCCTGCCTCTTCAATCAGCAGTGTTATCGTTTAACAAGAAAACAGCATGTGCATTAGTACAAATCTTTGATCGCATGCATAAAAATATCTCAGACTTTTAAACTTGACTCATTGCCATCACTTGCTCAGAAGTGTTTATTTACATATATGTGTATATGTATATATATATGTATATTCACCTACATGTATGTGTTTATACAGATTTATATTATTAGCCATCAGTTTTCTTACCATCCATTTATTCTTTTATTTATTTTGGAAAAATTGCTTTTGTTTAGCCTTATATTATTGCATTGCTGCTCTGTCATAAAATGACTGAGATTTAAATATCTTAAGTTTAAAATTGAAACTAATATGTGAATTATTTAGATACAATATCTGTGACTCAGATTAAATACATTAAAATGAGAATCTCTATGACTTGCATAAACAGAGTGTAAAATAAAAATCCCAAAGTACCCAAAGTAACCTGATCATGAATCAAAACAAACTTACAGTTATCAGAGGGGAAAGGGAGTGGGAAGGGATAAAGCAGGAGTTCAAGATTTGCAGATACTACTATATATAAAATAGATAAACAATAAGTCTGTACTGTACAGCACAGGAAACTATTCAATATCTTGCACTAACCTATAATGAAGAAGATTATGAAAACAAATATATTTCTGTATATGTATGACTGAAACATTATGCTGTACACCAGAAATTGACACAACATTGTAAACTGACTATACTTCAATTAAAAAAAAGAAAAAAAACTTATGATATGTCATTTTCAGCAACAAGAATGGACCTAGAAATTATCATACTAAATGAAATAAGTCAGACAGAGACAGGTATCATATGATATTATTTTATGTGTGGAATCTAAAAAATGACACAAATGAACTTATTTACAAAACAGAAACAGACTCACAGACTTACAAAACAAACTTGTTTACCAAAGGGGAAAGAGTAGGAGAAGGATAAATTAGATGTTTGGGGTTTGCAGATACAAACTACTATACATCAAATAGATAAATAACAAGGTCCTGTATAGCACAGGGAACTACATTCAGTATCTTTTAATAGCCTATAGTGAAAAAGAATATATATGTGTGTTACTGACTCACTATGCTGTACACAAGAAACTAACACAGCATTGTAAATCAACTAAACTTCAATTAAAATAAATAAATAAATAAATAATAAATAAATAAATAAATAAATAAATAAATAAATAAAAGCCTATGATAATGTGAAACTATTCCATAGTTAAGTTTAAATTAAGATTAATTCTGTAAGATGCTCCATTTACAAACCTAATACATGTTCTTTTTTCCTTGAAAGAGATGGAAATCCCAAAGATTTACACTGAATGCATTATTTGGGAAACAAAATAGTGACTAATAGAATGTGTGTCAGATGTAGATCACTCCATTCTTTGGTATGATTTTTAAAGATGTTTTAGGGGTACTCATCTTCCCATTTTGTATAGAACAGTTTAAACTCCTTAGCACTGTGCCCAAGGCCCTCCGTGATCTCTCCTTCCTGCATCTCTCATCCCCCTTCCTCTCTCTCCCTACCTTGTAGCCTGTGCTCCTGGGATGCTGAACTTCTCCAGGTCGCAGTGTGGCACGGACTGTACCTTGTATGGCTGCTGCAGCTCGCCCTACCCTCCTTTTTCCATCCCCACTACCTTCTCCTCGTTTCCCACGTCACTTTATTTCTGCCTCATCTTTTTTCTGCTCTTCCTTTGTCTGCCTTTCTCTGTCCTCCTCAGGGTTTTCATACATCCCTCTTCCCTAGATGATTGCAGCCTGCACTCCCAGTCTGGAGAGTCCTATTATCCCTCAGCTCTCAGTTCAAATACTGTTTCCTTAGCATCCACCCACCCCCAAAATAAATTAGTTTTCCCTTATTATTCTTTTTCATGATTCTTTCCCTTTAATGGTACTTATTGCAATTTGTAATTTTGTATTTATGTGTATATGTGTCTAGCTTTTCTCACCCCACCACCATAAGGTAGCATGTTATACAGGTTTTTTACTGAATGAATAAATGAATGGATGAGACTAATGTTCCTGAGAATGGGTTTATTTGTTTATGATGAGGCATCCTCAATGCCATCCTCTATGCTCTATTCCATGTTGGATACTCAGTAAAGATTTAACTGAAGTGAATTACTTTTTGTAAAATTATTATTGGATGGGTAATAAAATAGCCCACTCCTGTTGTCAGTGACTCATTTAATGGGCTAATGAAAGTTACCCTCTAAAAATTACATTTTATTTGAGATCATTCATTCATTCAACAAATGTGTAAGTAGCGAGGTATATTCTTGGATTTCATCATACAGAGATGAAAGTATGCTTACTGTTAAAAAGAAGCTCACCATCTAAGTGGGGGAACTAGACAAACATATAGTATTGTGCTAACTGTAATCCACTATGGTTATCTTGGAGTATGAATCACATAGTATGTGAAGAGGGAGTACTTACTCCTAGAGATATTACGGGGAATATCAGCAGAAGACTGGCATTCGGACTAATCCATAAAAGACAAATGGAGATCCACTAGCCAGTCAACTGGAAGAGCCTGCAATTCCATAAAGGCAACAGTTGAAACAAGAAACCCTGACGTGTGAAAATAACCATAAGCCCTTATGGTTATACACTAAATATATGTAGATACTTAAGTTATACTTAGTATGGCAGGGAATGGGAGGTAATGGGACTGAAAAAACAGGTAGTTTGGAGGTGTTCCCTGTGGAGGGCCTTATTATTCATGTTACTGAGCCTGAGTTATACCTTTTGGACAATAACACTTTCATCTTATGCAAACTGTGGCATTGCATTCCAAAAAGACTAGTGCTATTAAACCTTCCTCTAACCAGCTAGAGCTCGGAAACCTGTTCCATAGCTAGTCTTTTTGGACTGGTAACAGTGAAACAAAATTGCCTGCCCTATATAGAATTGAATTCTGTCCCTTCCGGTGCTTTACTTCACGTCCTTTGGCATAAAAAGCGTAATTTTAGCATACGTTGAATTGCTTGTAATACCATTTGGTTTTCAAGCACGCTGGAGTCAGTGACTCATTATATATGAA